AAACCAAATCAACAGAAACATTACAAATTACAACGTTGTAACTGAGCATAGAATTAATATAGGCCACGATTTTAACTGGACAAACATAAAAATTTTGGACATAGAGACCAATTTTCAAAAAAGATTAACTTCAGAAATGATAAACATTAAACTGGAAAACAATCCACTCAACATTATGTCAGACATAGATAAATTGAAACAGTACTTTTCGGTGTTTGACGAATATAAAGCTATCAAATAACGGTTTTGTATGTTTTGTTGTTCTTGTCTTTCGTCTCAATCGACCATACCGGGATCCTTGAGAGAAAAACTTTATTTATTTTCGGTCCTTGTTATGGATGGGTTACCTTTACTTCACCGACAATCATTTCATCAATAATCGTTTTATCGACACCATTTCATCGACACCGCATTTCACCGACAATATTTACTTACCGACACGTTTAGATTCCCAGACGGCACAATGATGTATTTAAGATGTCTTGAAGATATTTCACAGAGACTTTGAATGTGCAAAAGATATCTCGTTGAGACATTTTCGAACGAGTAATGATGTTCAAATAATATCTCAGGGATATGCCTGAGACTGCTAATGTCCACATCAAAAACATGCAAATCATATCTCTTGCAAAAGTTTTAAAAATGAGGGGAATTTCGAGACTTTACTCGAATTAGTTTTTGAAGGCCTGATACAGCTCGCCGATCAACCGATGAACTCCATTGAAAGGGACCGAGCCTGAAAAATCCTAAGGTGATTAGTGAGATTTGAACTCGAGATCTCCGCAAGCCCATATCCGCAGCCCCTGCGCTCAGTCCGCGAGACCACTTGCTTCTTATTAAATTATAATTGTTTTTATCTACTTATTCTTAAGCTATTGTACACATTTTGTTTATTATTTATTTTAATTATTATTTAATAAAAATATTGCAGTGCAATGTAGAAATTGCAACTTGAGAATTGATTTTCATATCTCGCGCAAAATATATTGTGCGAAGATTTGTGATATCATCAATAAATTATGTAAAGATGATTGTATGTAGTTTCAAGAATTTTCAAAGAACAAATGAATTTTGGCTATTGAAGCAATAACACTGTTGTTAGAGTGTATATATTTAAATCCGTTTATTAACAATTAGATAGCATAAACTAGATTAGATTAGCATAAACGCTTTCGACCTTGTATTAAGTCCTTTTCAAATGCATTTAAATTTCTTAGATAAAATACGTCGCTCAATGCTGATCGAGAATATCCGCACTAGCCATCCCGACCAACACTTTACAAGGGTGACTGAGTCGCGATTTCACCCTTGTAAAGTGTTGGTCGGGATGGCTAGTGCGGATATTCTCGATCAGCATTGAGCGACGTATTTTATCTAAGAAATGTAAATGCATTTGAAAAGGACCTAATATACAAAGTCGAAAGCGTTTATGCTATTTAATTGTTAATAAACGGATTTAAATATATACACTCCAACAACAGTGTTATTGATTCAATAGCCAAAATTCATTTGTTCTTTGATCATCAATAAATATTTCAAAAATATCATAAAAATATCACGGGAGTGTAATACACTGCATTCAAATTTCCTATACATTAAGCGATGTCTTTGAGATATATTTGAAAGAAAACAGTACTAATATTCTTAGAAGAATATCTGTGTGATATTTCAGGGATGTAATATCTCATGATATCACGAAAATAACGTAAAAACGATATCATTCTACAATCAAATGATATCATGTGCCGTCTGGGTTATCAACAATCATTTCACCGACAATGTTTTCGTCGACATCGAGCTTCGCCGACAATGTTTATGATAACAAATGAACATATAAGATGAATTATTATAGAAATTGATATTAATACTTTTATTTCATTACTTTTTCATTTTTTTAGAAAAAAAATCGGGCAACATATACAGAAATAAATTTTGTGAAGGCATTAGCACATAACTTGCAAATGTAATAATTCAGTTATTAATGTTTACACTATCGATTAAAGTTATATGGAGTTAATGTATCTAATGATTTATGTTATCCAATTTATTAATTATGTATTCATGAAGTAAGATGTCATATTGTAAGATGTTATAACTTTTGATATTAATCATTAATAAAACGCAGTATTATTTTATGTCCTAATTTATGTAATAAGATAGAAAAAGCAATGAAATAAAAGTATTAATGTCAATTTTTATAATAATTCATCTTATATGTTTATTTGTTATCATAAACATTGTCGGCGAAACTCGATGTCGATGAAAACATTGTCGGTGAAATGATTGTCGATGATCTAAACGTGTCGGTAAGTAAATATTGTCGGTGAAATGCGGTGTCGATGAAATGGTGTCGGTGAAATGATTATTGATGAAATGATTGTCGGTGAAGTAAAGGTAACCCGTTATGGATGCTAACAGTACATTCTAAGTCATCGCGAGTATTGAGCTCGGTTGTGAATATACAATAGCACAAGTATTTTACATTTATAACTTTATTTTTTTATTTAACTTCTTTCGATTTTATTTTTTTAAAATATTCCTATCTTTGTTTTATTTTTCAACGTTTAAAGTGAGATTTATATGAAGCACGACGATGATCTGTTTTGCTGTTGGCAATTCATGATGAATTATTAACAACAATTAACCGGTAAGAATCTCTGAGTAACAACAACTTGCAATCTTTTGTCATCATCTTAATTTGTTAATTTTTGTAATCAGCTTTCCACTGAAGAAGATCCCGAACCTGAGGGATCGAAACGTTTGGAATTATTAATAAACGACAAATTAACACATTAATACTCTGTGTCTTTGGCTCGATATCGGTCCACATTATTATTCATTGTTATTTAAATTTTTCACGAGCAAACATATATTTATTAATTTATGTTTTTCTAAATTTATTAATATAGTTAAATAGAAAACTTGTTTAAATAAAATTTTTGTAAAAAACCTTGTTTGATATTTTCTATAATTTTCGAGATAAATTGAAAAAGTGAACAATCGGTATATAAGGGGTAATTTCACCCTTTAAAACCGTTTTTGGACAGCAACGGAATATGTCAATATTCATCTATTGACCTCCCTTACATGTGTGCAAAGTGTCATCAAAATCAGAATTTCGCACTTTGCGAAGTTTCCTTGTAAGGTGTTTAATATTAATTTCAAGGTGCGTCATAAACTGTACGACTAATGTGGCAGTTTTATTTGCGAAAAAAATTGACAACATTCAGCAATTAGATTGGATCAAAAAGATAAGTATCGCGAATTGCGTGTCAAAATTGGTTACTCAAAGCACTTTGATTTTTTAATTCCTCGAATCAATGGAACTTTATATCGAGATAGAGAGGAAGTCCGGTGCTAAACGCATTGTAGAAACGTCTGATTAATTAAACGATTCTAATTTTACCGCAATTAAGTTTAATGAAGCGCGCGATTCTCTTCGCGAAGTATCGCGCTTAATATAATATTAAGACACCGAGTGCACACATAGCACGGGATGAAATGCGCGCAACATTCTCACGCATCTATATATCTATAAGATACGCGCATATTCGTAATACACATCTATATGCATCAGTAATATTATCCATGGTTTTTGGCAAGAGCGCGTATCGCGTTACCCAACATTTCGGTGTGTCCTGAATATTTCGACAAGGAGACATTATTAATGCATACGTTATATACTGCTCCGTATTTATAATTGGCCCGCACGTTGTGTGTCTACAGATAGATCGACATGTTATTATTGTGGAACATGTCGAGATTCAATCACACCTCCGCTCCTGTACAAGTAACATGCGAACCACTCACACAATCATGTATTGTCTCTTCTCTTCAACTTTCTTCTCTCAAATCAACTCTTTGCAAAGAATCGTTACATTAATTGTTTGCAAATTTATAATTATATCAAATTTAACAAATATTGGATGTTAAATCAATGCTGATAGTAAGCAATAAAAAAAGCAAAGAGTTAATTGCGCTTTTCCAACAGATTCCAACGTTATTTGTATCTTGTCGCTTTTCTTCTTATCTGACCGCGAGCTTAGCCATCTATCCAAGGATATCTACCGAATTTTGCTCGCAAGAAAATAAACAACTTCGCGATTTTTTCTCTTATAAACGGCAGAACGAGTACGTCGCTTTTTGCGCGATTGATTATCCGCAAATACATAAAAATTGCAAGTAATTATTAAGAACAACGTCGAACCAGATTATGCCTGTTTGTCTATTGTGCATTTTCCACGCATTTCACCTTATACACGTGCCTCTCTCGGTCGAAGAATAGGACTAGGGTTATTATTAATATTTTGGGAAAACGGGAATATTCTTTGTAAAACGTAAGATAAAAAGATGAAGAAAAATGTGTAAAATCGATCAAAAAATATCTTTTATATGATTAAGATCTGTGGATTTTTCTTTGACGCAAAACCCCCCGGTTTTTACCCAATCCAAATCTCCACCACTGGCCTGTAAATGCAGAATCGTAAAATCGTCCCAAAATAAGAATAAGAGCAATAATACAAGACGACTGTATGCTTTGTACGTAATAAAACTCATTGTCATGATGTAAAAGATACCGACACACTTGTCGACGGGCATCGTTCCATTCTCCAATCGCGCCCGTTCTTTCCTCCATATCGCGTTTGACCTTGATCTAATCCCGAATCCGTAGACGCCTCGCCATTATGTGGTCCGCGACTATCCGGAGGCCGGGATGAGATCTGCCCAAGAGCAGTACAGCTATTCGTACACCAACACCAGTTCGAGCACCTCATCCAGCTCGGATCCGTACAGCCGTCCGCAGAGGACCAGCTACACTCAGGAGAGCGTCGTCAAGAGAGAGAACGGCCCGTATGGATCGTACTCAACCGAGAGGTCGACCAAAACATCGTCCGGCGGCGGCCCCGGAAGCTATCGCTCCTCGTACGAGTCCACCACTTCCGGTCGCCTGCCCGGCGGCACTACCTATCGCCATTACTCTTACCGTGTCTAAAGTCCTGAATAATCCCTTACTTTAGTTCAGCCGGTCGCACTTTCACCAACGCGATCCTGACGATTAATCCTCGAGAAATTCCTCCACTAGTAATTTGTTTAGTGGTACATTTGTGGTACATTGATTTGGCATCTTCTATATATACATTTGGAATAAAAAATTTTATAAAAATATACAAATGCAAACATTTAGATTGATCGTCGGAATCGATGAGATTAAAAAAATCATCTTCCTGTCGCTTGCCTATTTCGAATTTTCTTTATTTTGTACATTTGAGTTTTCTCAAAACTCTTTACAAAAAAATTTCTTGCGTTATCAGAAATTGACAAGAAAACAATTTTATTACACCAAACGTATTCTTATCACTCGATTTATTGTTATTGCACACAGTTCAAGCAGGGAAGCGTTACGCGCAGCTACATTTAGAAACCATCTAAAATTTAGTTACACTAATAGCAGAAAGTACTAGCATGTTTTGAATTTTACTTTAATTGTACTAAGAGAAAATATCGCAGATTATACAATTGTTTTATTGTACTTAACGTCTCTTTAATGTTTTCCTTTTCTTAACTCGCTATATTCCTTGTTCCCTTTTCTGTAGGATTGTTTTTTTTCGTACAGAGAAATACATTTATGAATAGTATTTCTAAAGTTTTACTGACTTTTTAATCGGAGTTTGTATTAGATAATTACAGTTATAGAAACTAATTCCCGATCTCAATAATGTTAACATATGTTATCAAAGTCATCACTCTGAATAATGTTGCAAAGATTTTAGCCGGCAGTCATTGTTGATTAAAAACTTTTTAACAAAAGAGGTTTGAAAACTAGGATGTAATTGTATTTGTCATTGAAGAAAGTCAAGTACCATTTTATAATTTATAATGATTCACATAAGATATGACGATTCATCACAGGATAATGGGTTTTGATGATGTAGAACGATGACAGAGAAAAAAGATGTTTATTAGGGGAAAACAGGGTAATTATAATCACCTAAGGAAATTTATTAATATTTTAACCTTCTGGACCGGCATGTTTTTGATCGACTTTTTTTTAAGAGCTAGAACATTTTTGTTAATGTCGTGGAGTTGAGTGGCAAAAAAGATGCCATTGTCAAGTCTCTAAAGAAGCTTCTGGAAAAAAATGACATTCCTTATTTTTGGTTCTTTTAACTAAATATCATTAGATATTATGTTAGAATAATTATCTAACATTATTGTAGAGTAAAAATTTTACAAATAACATATGTAAAATTATTTTTATACTACAATTATAGAGTAAAAATCGATAAAAATGCATTATGTCTTCATATCAGTTACATGTCAAGACTATTCGAATTACTTTTTCAAAGTACATCTGCATTGCAGGTATGTAATAGAAAATTATTGTGAATACTTTCAGGAGGAATTGCCAAAAAATATTTCATCGATTGTTACATATTTTGTTCCATTTTGTTATAAAATCTACAAAACATGCTACTTTTACTTACGTATGAGTGAACAGTTCTGATGTTTTTTAGGGCAAGTAAATTATGTGTACGCAATAAAATACACTTCTTTACACAATGTCTCGTGCACGATACAGTTGTCGAGAAACGTGTGCGCCGGTATACCTATAGTGCGCGCGTCGGCTAAGCGCAGCGTTGCTTTTGCTCCTTTCCCTTTATCCATCCTATTCGCCAATACATGTACGGACATAAATTACAACATTTTTAAACTAATTAAGAGCTGCAAACATCACAAATCCCCAAAAATGATCTAAAACGATTCAAAGTATCTAAAGAGGCTTCCAGTCCTCTAAAGGTTAATGTTAAAGTAGTTTTTTTTTTCAAAACTTTGTATAGTCACATAAAATTATAGCTTTAAACACAATCTATAAACTATTAATTATTAAAAGTTTCAAATTTTCATTTACTGATATAAGAAAAAAACTAGTTTTGATCGTGTAGCCTAACCTAATCTATCGTGTGTGGAGTTATACCGATCAGGCTGTAGGTCATAAAAAAGTTCCAAAAACTAAAACAAATTAAAAAATTATAAAATACTGTTTTGTTGTATGAGCATAAGACACATGGGCGGAAAAGAAATTCAGCCTCTCTCCTTGCATCTCCATCCCGAAAAAAACTAACCCAACCTAATTTTAATTTAAAAGAAGAAATAGAGTTGGCTCGCCTACGCGTATCTTGTGTAAATCATTATATATTATAAAACACACACAATACTTGACTTCCTATAATGACAAATAAATACATTCCAGTTTTCAAATTTTTTTTGTTAGTAACTTTTTGATCAACAATGATTGCTAAAACTTTCACAACATTATTCAGGATGATGATCTTGATAACATATATCAACATTATTGAGATCGGTTAGTGGTACCTTTAACTACATACTTTGTATTGTATTGATCTTTCTGTAAGGTCTGTTCTACAATAAGTCATATGTCACTGTCAGACGTCGGGTGCAAGCGTATTGAGGTGACTCGTGTTGTTGAGAACTATCGTAAGTCGAGTGATCAGTTTAACACACTTGCGCCCGACGTCCGACAGCGACATACGACTTTATTGTAGACCTAAGGATACATTAGTCTATTGCAAGAAGAGCAACTCTAATCTTTTTCACGTGACAGTCTTTTCGCGAAACTAATCGTGACTAACAACAATTTATCATCATCATTATTATCGTAATCATCTCGTTAGACACACAACGCGATTTGGCCAAAAAAAGAGAACTTTGTCACGACACACAAGATCTCTCGAGTTCTTATTTTTTCTTTTTTGTTTTCTTCCGGTAAAACCTAACCTAACCTCTCCTTTCTCTGAAAATTCACCACACTTGAGATGCAAAAAGAGCAAGTAAGAGTTAATCAAGTACAAGACAAGCAAAAACAACTAAGGAAAAACCAGGAAGAAGAAAGAACGTTATACATATATACTTCCAAATCACTAACCAAGTGTTGTTCTTCTTTCTATTTATTCTGCCCTCCACATATGTGACTCCTCCGCCCCTTTTGCTGCCGCCGCCGTTGACACCGCCGGCTCTCCCGACGGATAAAATAAGCTCCCGTTAAATGCACGATCGTACAGTATCGACCAATCATCATACCGCTCTCCAGCGTCATTCAGGTAAGTACTTTCACAATTGCTAAACTTTAAGACTAAAGATGACGGAGAATGCGCTTTGTCATCGATAATGCAACATATGTAATCATCGATTCTGATTTTCGCATCGCGATTTTTCAAGATTCACATCTTTATCAATTTAATTTAGAGGTGCATTTACTATAAACCATAAACTATAATTACTATTTACTATAAATGTGTAAAAGATGATTGAATAAAGTACTAGGTAATTATTGAGTATAGAAGATAAAGGTCCGATGACCTTGACCTTGATATGTGGTGTAAAGGGCACTTTCCTAGGTAGTGTTCAAAAGGTTTTAGGCGTCGCTTATTGTTCATTAAACAGTTATTAACAAAAAATGTTTGAAAATCCTGATCTTTATTTTCATTGATAACATATAGAATAATAGAATAGAATTTACATTTGCTTGCAGTTATCATTTCTAGAAAGACATTCTGAGTTGCTGATATAATGATACATATTTATAAGCGATATTGTTGACTATTATTCAGTTGATGTTTTGGAGCGCGAAATAGTTTATCTATAATTCCGAGCAAAGTTCCACATAAATACAAGATCGTTGTCAAAAGCGAGTGGCTTTCAATATATTGTTCCATGAATTTCTGCATTTGACACATAATTATTCTCATGAACGTTTATAGCGTGATATTTGATGCGGAATTCCACGATACAATAACGATACATAAAGATACGTTCCGAACGGAATATTATATTCATTATTTAGCCGAATTTGTTTTCAAACGTAACATTCAGTACTACCAGCAGATTGATAAATTGTTTGACATTATGGCAGCTTTATATCCTATTCGTGATGTAGAAAGAATAACAGAATAACAAGATTAAAAATATAACAACATATTACAATGATTACTTTGTTGATGTTCTTTTTGTTCGTGTTATAGAAGAGTGTAGGCAGAGGGGAACTTCGCAGGGAGAGTGACTTCGTCCCTTAATAAAAACGTCGACTTCCGATTAAATGTCGCTTCATGTCGAAAGTGTGTTATTATTTCGGAGAAAGCAGGGGGAGAGGCAAAGTCACTCCCCCCTGCCTACACGCTTACAACACGAACACAAAATTATTCTTAATGGTTTTTAACGGTCATTTTTGTGATTACATTTTTTATGAATATTTTTGTAATGCAAAATGAACGACGCCTAAAACCTCTTGAACACTACTCAGGATAGTGCCCTTTACAACACATATCAAAATCAAGGTCATCGGACCTTAATTCCCTATACTCAATAATTACCATTGTGAGCTTATCAGAATCGTCTGACCACTTTATTGCGCGAGTTTACTATGTGTATGATTAACATGTATGTTAACTGCGTTAACATGTTAACGCAAAAATGGTCCCACACAGAACAAAAACTCTATTAGACGTCTATTAGACGTCGACAGTTCCATGCGACATCTAATAGATGTCTAATGGATGTCTGGATGGATGGATGTCTGTGTGGGGTATTATGCAAATCTTGTTGATAAACTTTTACGAAAAGTTTGCGGGCACATGTGCGGTCTGGCAAAATGATTAATAAACATAATAATGAAGCTTTATCGCTCTTATGTCAATTAATTACACAGCCACACAAAAAAAAAAAATTTCTTTGGCCTGGGGATCAGACCATGTTTATTATATGTTTTTGGGGTCGCTGAATCCGAATCCGAGGTCCATTAAACCCCATCGGGTCGGAGTT